CATAGTCCCTCGCCTTTAATAACTCCTTGTAAAACTCAATCGCTTGATTCTTCAATCTAACTTTGTCTTTGATCCAATTACCAGCCTCATCTTTAAGATGGGTTATTCTATTCTATTCTTATGCCTCGGATAGTACTAGATTAAAAGAAAGAAGTATTTTGGTTACTTTCTTTCATTCCATTTCACTTTTGACCATTGGCACCAAAATGTTTCTTCCGTGAGCCATAACTTGTATAATTCCTCATACAATGTTTTCTTCTTCTTCTTCTTCTTCTATGTTGGGATATGCTCTATGATAGTGTTGAAGAATTTCCAGATGATCACGGATTTCCTTAATTTTTTATGAACTCATTTTATGTAAGTCATTCCACCAAGTTCTAAGATACCTCCCACATTGGTCTTTTTGGGTTAGGAAGAGCCTCCCGGATCCCAAGATATTGATACAACACCCCCACCCCCACATACTCTTCCTCTAAAGCCATCTCTCCTCCACTCTAAAAGTATTTCTTCTACTACTAATAGTCTTAAAATAAAGATCGAAACTGATCGTGAAATGATCTGAATCCGCCATTTTGTTGGTTCAAGTAAAAGTCCCACTTTAAAACCCAACTCGATGAGAGTGTTGTGGAATAAGAATCTCTTGGGCAGTTCCACATTCTAGTACTTACTAGGGAATCTATTGAGTGGTATCAATGCTTGATTGTTATATCATCGATGCTATAAACTATATTTATGGTTCGTAGAAGCCCACAATTAACTATATGATATCCTAACTTCATTATTCTTCATTAATTAGGTAATGACATGAACCGAAAGCACGCATTAGCTAGTTAAATCTATTTCACAAGCAGCTCATGTACGAATAGAGAGTGGCCTTAGAGGAAGGGATAGGGTGATGCAATAGATGAACCAATGGTGCATGATATATATGATCCTTCGTTTGCTTGATCATCTTCGAGTTCACAATCTAGTACAATAACATATCCTTACTTTCATGCATCTATAACTTGAAAACCCTAAACAACTTTATTCTTCTTGCTTGCTGGTTCAATTTGTGTACGACATGTCGGTTGTTGTAAGTAGTTAGAAGACCTCGAGGAATACAACCCAAGGCACATTTAGGATTATCAGTTGTGTTTTCTAACATCAAATTCATGGAACTATTCCCGGGTATTTCTAATCATATATAAAAGCATCTAACTATCTTATGTCTAATATTGAGTCTTTTTGGTTCTATAGGATTTCGTATGAGTTCAGTAGCTACTAGAAGAAATGTAAAAAACCTAAAGATCATGGAAGAGATACTTTGATAAGGAGGAGTATCGAGTTTACCCATATTGGAGAGGAAGGAAGGAGCATCTAGCTCAGGAGAAGAAGATCCCTCAAGACCCAACAATTTCGAGCAACCATTGGAAGAGGAGGACAACATAGATGAAGACAACTACGATTCGAAGGAAGAAGGAGCATCTTCAACATCAACAATGGTCGGAGAAGAAGGACAAATACAAAGGGTCGTTCCACCAACTCTTTATGAATACTCAAGGCCAAGAGCATCCAACATCACCTCAAACATTATTGTGCCACCAATGACCATAGTGATTAGAACTCAACTCATCCAGATAGTGCAACAAGCAGGGAAGTTTGGAGGCAGGAATGATATTGATCTGATACAACACTGAAGACATTTTTAGATATCTTTGATTCCATACCAAGAGATGATGCTAGCAAAGATGGGATTCGACTACAAATTTTTCCATTCACACATGGAGGAGGAGCAAAGAAGTGCTCGACAACCTTCCACCAGGAACCTTCACCATGTAGGAGACCCTTTCACGCGCATTTATTGAGGATTACTTTCCACCATGGAAGATAGAAGAGCTTAAAGATGAGATTACTCAATTTCAACAAAGGAAGGAGAAACTTTCTATGATGTTTGGAGGAGATTCTAGAAGTATACAAAGTGCCCACATAATGGATTCACATCAGACCAGATTGCATAGTAATTCGCCAAAAGCCTTGATCAAGACACCAAGATGATGGTAAACCAGCCGACCGATGGAGATTTCACAACAATGGTGGGAGTGCAATGCCAGTAGCATTTTGCCACACGAGCAAGAAATTCAAAGAACTGGTCCAAGCATCCATCGATGACTAAACCATTGAAAGCTTTCTAAGGAAAGAAGGATGATGTTGCCACCCTCTATGCATACGTGAAATAGCTTACTGAACAACTAAGAAAAAATTTAATGGAGCCAAAGAATGGACCGGTGGCATCCTTGTTCGTTTATGAAGCATGTGGAGAAGAAGGTCACAAAGGATCCAAATGCTATAGCCATGAAGGGCAAAGACTTGTTGATGCCAATTATATAAATTAAGGCTGTCAATTGAGAACTCAACAAGGTAGTTATGCTCCTTATCAAAGATTCAACCAACCTCGCTTACCATATGGTCAATGGCCTGCTCCAGGAGGGAAGAAGCTCGATTATTACCACAACATCACCTCTACCAATGCACCCTATGTTCATGCAATACAATGGCAAAAGAAACCAAGTCCAGCTGTATTTGGAAATCAACCTCAATACAAGGGGACAAGGAGAAGGTGTCTCCAATCCGCAACCATTATATTCGAGAAGCTATAGGTAACAATGATAGGATTCCAAATGAGCTACAAGAATATAGAAAGACAACTTGCACTCCTTATCAATGGTCAACCCCAAAAGCCTCAAATCAATCTCCCACGCATCACAGAAAACAATCCAAAGAAGGAGGAAGTTAAGGTCATCTCGACTAGGATGGAAGCATCCAAGATTTTCCCATGTATGAAAAAGGAATAAGAGAAGAAGAAACTAACTATCCATCACTCTTCAGAAATCTTAAGAAGCTTTTGGAGGAGTAGAAATGGTAGTGCTAGGTAGACTAAGCAATCATTTGAATCGATAAATAACGAAATGGAGGAAATCAAGCATCAACACATATGAAATAAAACAGTTGTATTAAAGCCAAATATCAAGCTTTACATGATGAGAACCCCTAGGTTTCACATACCTACGCAACTAAAGAAACTAGCCAACCATGGGGAAGGGTTTCTAGGCGATATCGGTCGAGATGAAGTCCCCAGAACAACACTGGAATCGGTGCCCACAATAGAGAAAATAGAGTCAGGGTCGCCGTGTATGGCGCTTATTCCTCCCATGAGGTTGGTTTCTCTCTAAGTCAGGTGAGTCGCTCTATTTACAAAGTAACGACCCTTCATTGACCTCTCATCTTCTCCTCTCGAGTTCTACCTCCAGAGCTATATGTATAGATCTTCGATTAGGTTTTTAAAAGTGCTTCCTGAAATGCACAAAGCGCTACCAAATAAGCATCAAACCCGCAAAAGCAATCCTAGGGTTGCTAAAACACACTTGAAGCAATTGATAACACAATTCAAGGTATTATGACGATAATAATATGAAATGAATACGCTTTGAATCATAATACAGGGGTCTATAATAGCTCATTTTATGTGTCATCAGGTTGAGGAAATGAAGTAAGGGATGAAACTTTGGAATGTTATAGGCATGAAGGGTGTGGCGGTTGGACCCAACAGAGGGCCGCATGTGTTGGTTAACCTGATTTTTGTCGGTTTCCTTCATTTTTACATTAGTTCACTTACTTGGTTAGTACGAAAGTTAATTTTGTACAAGCATTCTTTATGAAATCTGTTCCTTTCCAGGAGTTCTTTCAAAAATTTCTTACAAAATATATCACCTATCCAAAGGAGAAAAACTCGTTATAAGCATCATCTAATAGTACATTCAAAATTTTTACACCAAAATGGAGAAGAAAAGCTAGAATATGGGATATCTCCTTGGTAGCACTTTTGTTTAACGTCATTAAGTTTGACGCTAGATATGGGTTGCCTCACATTAAGTATTGTTTCTTTTATGCCTTTGAGCTAGGCATAGTCGTGTTCCTTTTAGTTAGATGACCATTCAAGATAAGATATACATTCATCACCCCATTCACTTGTGTTTTACCTTATCGGACTAACTGGATGTGGACTGAATCCATTTTGAAGATGAAAACGTATGAAGTCTTGATAATCCTTCGATATTTCGCACTCCAGCTCCTTGATTCTTTCTAGGACTGCCTTGGGCATTGTATTAGCTATGCTAACTGTCTTCATGTATACATCAAATAAAGCAATGACCATTATCTTTTTTATGCTCGTGTACTAGGATCATTTCTTCATAACCCCAAAGGGTTGCTTTGCTAACTTCATATATTTCCTCGATCTTATCTTCTTCCTCCAAGAGAATTTCTAGTTTCTCTTTTGGGTTCTCCATAGAGATAAGTTTCTCTAGCATTGGCATAGCTGTCTTTGCTCCTCCTAGAGCTCCTATCAAATCTAGAAAGGGAGATGAGTAGTAATCATCCTTCAAAGTGTCGATCCTCTTCTGTTTCTGCTTCTCTTCTCATTTCTTGCTTTGGTGGTTCTTGGATGCTCCTACTATCATTGGGATAGCGTTGACCTCTTCCTTTGTATTATTTTGCATTGCTGGAAAGATTCCCTTGAGGATTTTATAGTCTAGCATCAATCATGATTGCAAATTGACATTCAATGTTCAGAAAGCTTTCTTGCATACCATGAATAATTGCTTCTAACTTCCCAAACTGTCCCAAACCGATTAGGTTGGTGGGTTAAAGAACCTCTTTCGTGCTCCTTATATTGCGGTTGGCTCCCACATTCGGGTGGAAGCCAAGTAGCATTTGTGGAGGTGATTTTTGGATAATCGTCTAGCTCTCCTTATTATATTGTGTGCTATTTTAGCACTCAAGATCCCTATTTTAGGTTTTTGGCTTTTTTAAAAGACTATTAGAGAGCATTTGGGGCTAGATTTTTAGCATTCTATTTCTAGCCCTGTATTGGAGACGGCTAGCCATTTTTTTCACCAAAAAAAAGACTACAAAAAGTAGAATGAAAAATATTTGTTTGACGCACTCACTCAATGAGCATTGAGTGCACAAGATTAACATCATACCCGCTGCCTCTATATAGTCTGAACGAAACAATTGACTGTCCTGTAAGGAAAAAATCGTGAAGCTCAAGTCTCCAACCAATGCTAGATGTCAATGAAGTGAATTAGATAGAACAAAACATTCTGCACGAATGAACTCGGAAGTAGAAACTAGTTAGGAGACAGATGAGAACCATTACTGTATTAGTTTCACAACTTACATAAAAATGTGAAGCTTTATATTAACATGATTCTCCACCAGCTTCAACCCAGCTAAATTCACCAATCCATCCCCACCACCAACCTTGTTATTTCATAACTGGAAGGGGTACAATTACAAAGGTCAGACCTTTGTCGATGATCCATTTTGTCATTTAGCTTCGACATCATCGAATCACCCCATGCAAATTGGCACCATCAAGCCTCGCACCTTCCAGATGCTGCGTTAAAACACACACAACCAAGAGTTGGTTCTTTTCTGAAACAACATCAACTGACTACAGAATCATGGTCCACTAGCTACCCTTACCGTGTTCTGAAAGTTGACTTGTCGCAAATAAGCACGTTGCAGGTTTGCACCCTTTAAATTAGCGTTGATCAGTTTTGCACCCTGACATAGAGAATCTTGGAAAATCAAGAACCAAATCTTAACAATATTCTTGAATCAGAAGGAGAATGCAAAAGCAGAAAAACAATTACCTTCAGATTGGCTCCTTCTAGGTTTGCCCCCTCCAAGTTGGCATTGGTAAAGTCAGCAGTCTAATATCAATATCCAAATAGGTCATGCATAAAACTCTAACCCACATTGACAGTCGATAAAACAATCAAGGAGAAAGAAACCAGAAAGGGACTTTGGTAATATCTAAGAATACTAGCAGAATCTGATCTATTACAAATTCAGATGGCAGAAGCGACGGCTTTTAAAAGTTATCCAGGCAGCCGATAGAAACTGTGAACAGATATGCCAAATTACCAAATACCAACCAAAGGATGACATTCAAAAAAAACTTGATAAAAGATAAGTGGCCCTTGTCTATATTAAAGGGGAAAGGATAATAAACCTGTAAGTGAGCTGTGCGTAGATCTGCCCCACAGAAACTGCAATCTATTAAACAAGCATCTGCAAGTAGCTCAAAATGGAATTCGAGCTGAGAATAGTCAGTTCAAATAAAGCAAACCCATTGACAAAGTTATCGGCCTACACAAAAGATGTGAGGCGTGCACAGCCTAAAAGATGGCACCAGGGTTTCCCATTGTTGGACCAATTTTCAAGACAAAACCTTACTCCAAGACCATATGAGAATCTAAAAATGAAAACACTAACAAACCATATCCTGAACTGCTGAAAGGCCGGTAAGATGGAAAAAGCTACCTTGTAGATTTGCACTCTGAAGATTAGCCCCGGCTAATACAGCGCCACGTAGATTTGCACCAGTAAATTCACATCTTCCTAGGCATTATACAAATATCACGATGTCTATTTGGGACAAGAGTCTAAATAAAAGGAATCCAATCAAGAGTAACTGACTTACTCCCGCAAAGTAGCATTATGAAATATGGAACCCTCAGCATCCACATCCTATCATGCAAAATATGTAAGGTTTAGTTGATTCATTAGGCATGCACAATGTTAATGTACTTAAAGTAAGGAATCAGCTGAATATAGACCTTGAATTTAGCACACTGAAGATTAGCACGTGAAAAGAAGACATTCTTGAGACAAGCAAAGCTGAAGTCAACGAACGATAGATCCTGCAAGCCATAAACCTTAACAATCATTATATTATCCTAACTGGCAAAGTCTCATTTGCCAATAAGAGAAAAACTAAAGTAACTGAGCAGAAGTCTGCAGTATTTGTTCCATTGACAACAATTCCAAAAGAAAACTCTCAACATATGAAGCATTCTCTTTTCAATTCGTTGATGTTTCTGGCTTTTTATGAAGGTAGCAGCAATAGAAGATCAACGAAATCTTGAAGTTTCATAGGCATCTGAAGTCATTGTCAATAATTCATGAACAAAATTGTTCCGAATGCAAGAAGACAGCATTACAAAGGAAAAAGTAAATAAATTTATGATTTTCATGAGATATACACAAAACTGATTATGAGTTACAAAAAAGGACCAATCACATCCAACTAGAAGAAAATAATAAGAATGTACAGATTGTAGAAACGATATCTGTGAGTACTACGGAAATTTTACCAATTTGGAGAGGTCTAGGCCAGAAAGATTAAGCCCTCTAAACCGGACCCTCTCAGACTGTATACACTTGATGATATCTGTTCGTGTCAATTCAGTATCTAGATCATCAGCTTCCTTCTTCTTATTCAGAGCAGAATTGATTCCATCTATAAGCCCCTGAATTAGAAAGATGGCACATCAAATAGTTTCTGGAATGAGGTAATCAAAACAATGATGGTAACAAGATACTAGAATAATGAAGAAGCAAGAACATACAGGAGTAGAAAAGGAAGCAAGAAGAATATGGACATACAAGTAGCTGATAGTATTCAGCCTCTCGCATAAGCTCCGAATATTCCGCATCTGATAGAGTGGGGACTACTCCATCCCTCAGCCAATTCAGAACATGCCTAAAATGCTTCCCATCCCTGTCAACAAAGATCTGTCCCTGTGGAATGCAACACCATCGACTAGTCAATTCAAAGGAACTTATAAAAATATAACGATTCTTTTACTTCTGTGTTTGCAGATTCTTTCCATCAAAGCAAGTTCCACATTCTTTTATATATGAAACGTGGGTACACTTTATTGCCCTATTTTTTCATCTTTTATATATGAAACGTGGGTACACTTTATTGCCCTATTTTTTCAGCTACTGTTTCAATTCCTGTCGTCTTGTGGCATTGATGAAAGAGCTCCGCCCAAAAATTTCCCCGTTCTCCCTCATCCAGCAGTGCCTTCTATCCTCCACCAGCTGCCCATGCCTTCCCTTCGCAACCGTACCCCCAAAATCCGCAGCTGCATCCCTTCACGCCGCTACCCAAAATCTGCAGAGGTATGCGTTTCCTCTGTCGTTATCAACTATTCGGGTCTTCTTTCGTTGCTCACACACGCCACCTCATGAAACCTCTTCAAAGATGCATGCTCAGACACGCCAACGCCAATGAATCAATCTGTCACCTTACTCTGCTGTATTAGGGGCTACCATCGCCTTAAGGACAATTTATTTCCTAGGGTTCCAACCCCAGTTCAGCTCCACCTCTCACTCTACCCCCCTCTACAAATCCAGCTCTCCCAGTTGTGTCGCCTTCATATATGGACCAACAGTGGTGGACACAATCGCCTATGATGGTGAGCTCTTATTTCTGTATTCTTTGTCATATTTTGAATTTCACCTTCTGATTTTGGACTCTCGCTGCAGAGCACGCAGGTAGCAATGAAGATGCTGATGATATGGTTTCGTCGAGTTCGTATTCGAGCCCTAGCCAAGTATGGGTTTTGAGATTTCTAAATTTTGATTGTTCTTCTCCCAGCTGTAATTTACTGCCCTGTTGCTATCACAGTGCAACACCTACGAATCGACAAGGCTGTGACTCTAGGAACGACTACCGTGGAGAGCAGCCTGCCCTCTGCTTTGGACCCTAACCTTGGACGCTCTAGATCTCATCAAAGGTGGTGATAATTGCTTCCCTGCTGCTAAGGCTATGGCTATGGATTGAATTTGTAAACTGGATACTGACTGTTTTTTGTTTGTGTTCTTATCTTAGTCATAGTCTTGAGGAAACATCGGAGGAATTCATGAGGTGGTGGAAAGATGGGCAATGTAGATTCCTCAAAGTGTGTGCTTGCTGCCTGTATTTGATGATCGTGAAAACAACCGAGTATGTTGTGAATGAGCTTTTTCCTTTGGCTTTCAGGTTCAATTTTTTAGTGGCTTCAATTTGTTGTTGGTTCTGGTGGCTGTTGTGCTTCATTATTGAGATAAAAAATCTCCAGCATGAACTCCATGAAAAGTTCATCTTCCGATACCATGGTCATTACTCTCTAGAGATAAAAACTCTAGCAATACTTGAATCTCTTTCTGTACTTTCAATTTTGGGGGAAATTACTTACAAGCTAAGCCATTTATGAACTATATTCTTCAGTGGAGAAACAGTAACATATCTTTGTTTCATTGTGCTAATGATTAATATCAGACACTTTCGCTATGAGCTATGAGCCTGTAGCTTCTCATGGTTACCAGAGTATGAGATCAGTTTCATGCTAGCCATTGTTCTGATTCAATTTTTGGTGTTTCTTGAGCTTGAATTCACCATCTTGGTCTCTGCAGTTTCAGTTTGCAGTTAGGAATTAAGAGTTTCGTCCAACAAGTTACGGTGGCAAGAACAAATGTCAAGGTGACAAATGACAATAGTTGTACCTCCCTTTTTTTTAGGCTTGGTTGCGCAAGTTTTGTTGTTGTTAGATGTAGAAGAATAGGTTCCCAAGATCATATGTTTGGTCATCAATGTACATCCCACTAGGAATAGCATGAGTGTCTTCAATTATGTTTTAGGTGTTCCATTAGCCCTTAAAGTTTTGGGTCATTCTCTGTATGGAAAAAAGCAAATGAGTATTTGAATCCATGCTTCCCAAGATAGAACCCATTCCCGATGAAAGAATTCAAGACTCTCTGAATATCAGTTTTGATGGGCTGAATGATTAAGCGAAGGATATATTTTAAGTTTCAATTTACATGTTTGATGTCTCTCCCTTCCCACAACCTCTCTCCCTTTCAATCAACTCCATGTTCTGTTTGGATTATTATTTAGTTCATAGAACTTCAATTGACTAATGTGTTTTTGTTTTTCAGCAATAGCATTCCAAATCGAGAGAGTACTAAAGCTCTTGGTTCATTCGAGGTTCTTCACCAACGCCAGTAAGCTCGGGTAGCAAGCTTTGGGTCTGCATTTCCCTCTCCGAATCAAGCTTTGGTTTGGATTCAAGAAGATAGTCAGAGGTGAAGGAGAATTGAGGAAATCCGGGAGGGAATCGAACCTCTTGATTCTTTTGTAACGAATCAATTGGGTGAATTGAAGGTGAAATGGTGCTGTAATGTGGGTTCTGTTTCTGTCACAATGTTTGTACCCCTTCTAAATTCCCATCCATCATCTTTGCATGCTTTCTGTATTCTTCATCCGCTCACAAAATTCACCCCAAAATCTGAATTAGCATTCCAGTGATAGCTATTCAGTTATGAATATATTATTTTTAAAGATGTCAAATACGATTAAATGTTCCTACGGCGTAGCCGTGGGTATTGATTCTAGTACACATTGACAAAAAGGATTGCATGTAAGACCCTTCGTTCACTTCTTCATCATACAGAACTAATCATAAAGCGATCATCACTTCTAACTACCATCATGAGGCTGGTGAAAGTAGAAACCCATACCGAATCAGAATCCTGACACAGAGTATGTCGACCACTGAACATTGCTGCAAGCATCGACTGCGGCTCTCGATTCGTCAGAGTGTCAACGGTAGTGGAAAATTTCTTCCCTCCTACAGGTAAAAGTTAAAACACAAAAAAAAAAACCGAATTAGGCCATTCAGAGAGTACATACAACAGATAGTAAAAAGACTATCAACTCACAACTATCCCCCACAGATTAAGCAGCCGAGCGAGTAACCAACTCAGTCAACTAGCATTTCAAAAATACGGCACAATAAATTGATCAAACAACCAGAATAATTATGTAAAAAGGACAAAATTCTGGCTATCCAAACAGAGAAAGGTTCTCGATCGCCATTGGACACGATAACAAGGTAAATTAAAAATTACATAGTGAATTAGGGTTTAAGTTCTTCGAAATCAGACTGTCATGCTGAGGCGGAGAAGGGAATAAATTGAGAGAGAGCTAACCGATGTTGAGACGGACGATCGAAGAACTGGGATCTTTCGTCATTGTTGGTACGGAACTCTGACAGTGAAGCCGTCAGCAGGCGGTCTTCCGGTGAGGTTTTCAGATAGAAGCCCGATTCCAAGCGTAGAGCGAAGTGAAGCTAAGTTGCTGGGAAGTGCGAATTGCGATCGTCAGCTGCGAGACGCGCCAAAGAAGAACCGATGCCTCACAACAAGTGAAGTCACAATAAACTGGAAATTGGATTTCACAAAAAAACAAAATAAAAAACTGGAAATTGGGCCAATTTATATAAATGGTCCCTTAACTTTGGGCTTACAAATTGATCAATCATGGAAATTTCATTTTTTTTATTAATGATCAGTCATGGAAATTTCATGTTAGCATAATTTTTACTAAAGATTGGAACAACATTTAGGGCTAACATCGTCGAAAATACCAATCTTTAGCGAGTGTGCCACTTATATTACATAACTTCAACAATCACATTAATATTTCAAATTATTGGGGTCTCGGTCATTTCTGTTCCACGAATTTATGTTAACCGTTAGAACTAATGGTTGACCTGGTCAACCTTAGTCTGACCATTGATTAAGTGGCGCTTATATGTCGTCCATGTATGCAACACGTTGATGCCATGTAGGAAAATAGTATTAAAATTTAAATTAATTAATTTATAATTAAATAATTAATATTTTATAGAAAATAATTTTGGTTTATTTTGGAGTGTCTGTCGTCGACCCACGAACTGGAGTTTCCGTCATGAACTGTGCAACTCGACTGTCTGCTGGTCCCACCTCTCGAGCTTCCAAATCATTGAGACAGAGAACTCTGTCGTCGTCGTTGATATCCTCAGGATCTTCTTCACTAGCAGGGGAACCGTCAGAGAGTTCCCCCAACGCAGCGGCTCTGCCTTTCGAATCATCACAGAGCTTGTCCAGAATTCCTAACCCCTTCTCGCTCGCGCTCTACTCTTTCGAGGAGGAAATTATCATCTCCAAGTGGAACAAGACAGAGTCGGCTTCGATTAGGGATGATCAGAAGCGGCCGACGAATTTCGAGGTTGGGATCTAGAGGAGCTGGAAGATTAGGATTAGGGAGAGCTTGGTTACGACGGGGGAGATCGGTGATCTCAGGAATCCAAAGAGAATACGGTGTTAATCTTTTATTTCCAATATCAATTCTGCATATCTTTCTCGATTTGAGGAAGATGAAAACACTAGCAATCCATTGAGTGTGATGAGTGAATTATGCTTCGCGGCGATTCTGTTAGTGTTTTGGTATATGATCCACGATTGAACCTCTCTCAACAACTCGAATTATTGGGATCAACTGGTTCATGACATGGTATCAAAGCCTTATGTGACCGAGAGGTCTTGTGTTCGATTCCCGGTGACCCCCATTTGTTAAGCACATGGTATTCTTGTCTTCACACTGCAAACTTCAAGCCCTTCTGAGTGGCTTTTGTTTGAGGGAGCGTGTTAGTGTGGACAAAGCGAGGCGGTCGCAAGCTGCTGCTACTTCTCCTCCTCCACCGCAGCTAGTCATCGTATACATCCAGCTCATCAAGCATAGCAGCTCCTCCAGAACTACTGTGCGCCTCTCCACGGAATCCCTCACGAATATGTCGAGCGAAGCGGTGAGCACAATGGTAGTGCCATTGGAGGTGATGCAAAATCCTATATTTTTTGTTAACCTCTAACGAAAAACTTGACGGTTGGTATACAAATGACATATCAAAAGTTCCGTAATATAAGTGACACTCTCCCTAAAGATTAGTATTTTTAGTGATATTGGGCTTAACGTTTATATTAAGTTAATCTTTCCTTCTTTATTTTCTTTACGTCGAAGTTGTGGTTGATATAGACTTTCTTGAGTTGGATCCTATAGTTGAATAAAAGTGATCTCTAGAGACAAATTTCTCTTGTGACAAAAACCTTCAAAAAGGTCTTTCGACTGATGGTAGAGAAGACACCCTCGATGCTCAAGTTATTGGTTGATAGGGCAAAAGCGTATAGCTTCAATTCCTATCTTGTAGTAAACCGGAAAGTCCGGGTATCGTCTCTCAGGGACTGGTACAACCTTAAGATTTACCGATTTAATAGAGCAAACTATAGGTGAAAATGGTTTAATGCGATTATTAACTACTAGCAAAATCAACTAAACAAGCAAATTAAAGTGTCGGGTTTAAATCAATGGGAGAAAGCTCTGGGAGAAACACCGGGACTCACTACCTATCCTATCCAGATTAATTCACACATTCCAATCAATTTAATTCATATCTCCACAGCCAGGATATCACTACTGTGCTAGCTATCCCTGTCGGGAATTACTACGTACTAAATAATCAATTCAAATCCTACTGTCGTAGCTCAATGAATTAACTATATAGTCTGAAGATCGATATCCTATTTAAGACCGCATAGCACCTTATTTAATCCACTGTCGCTTCGATAAGTTGCTATGTCACATGAAATATGTTCAGTTATTAGGGCTTCGCTGTCGCTAATAACCTAATTAACTACGATTCATTGTATTGGTGGCCAGTCAACACAAAGCATTAAGCAATTCCATGCAATAGAGATTGGAAGAAAAGAATCATAAATCAATCCATCAAATCAAGAACTAGCTACATCCTATGGTGTTTCCCCCAAAAATCGAGGTTTAGTTCATAACGAAATCAAAAGATATAACCATGTTCTTAATCATCATGAAACTAGTAAACTAGTAACGAGAAGAAGAGAAAATACTGATACGTTCCAATCGATGCTCGCAAGTCGCGAAGCCTCAACTTCGCTTCGATGCTGCCTTTCTTTTCTCCCGTCTCGCTAACAAGCTGCTGCCCTGCTGCCTTTCTTTTTCCCAAAAGAATTCCTCCGCCTCTGGTTTTTTTTTTTTTCTCCTCCAGCCGCCTTTCTTTTCTTTAATTCTCCCCCCAAAAATTCCACCGCCCGAGAAAATTCCTCCAGCCCGTAAATTTCTTTTCCTGGCCCAAGAATTTGTCCGTCCCCAGCCTTGTCCAATTCAATTCCCTTCCTGATCCAAGTCCCAAGCCTCCAAAATAATCACCAGCCCACAATTAATCCCCATCCAGCTGGGCTTTAAGCCCACTTCATGCTTCCTAGCCCAAGTGAGTATTTCACCAGTGATTCGAGCCCGATTGATTGCTTGTGCACTCACTTCTTTTTCGTGTTTTCTCCACCTGTAACATATCAAACTCATGGCACTAGGCAGTAATGGTTTTTCAACCATTCTCGGGTTAGCGAGCCCTAAAATAACACCAATCGGCTTAAACATATCATGGATAATCACATAAAGTCCAACAATTCAATATGTTAAAGCCGATTATCATTGGTTTAGATGACAGAAATATGACCTTGAATACAAAGATGAGAAAATGGAGTTTTAAATCAACGCCTTCGTTAATCATAACTGGAGTTAGGGGCTGAGCTTTTTCCCACTTACCTTTACTTGGAGATTTGATGACGTTTAGATATGATTTTTCCAAAACGCGTCCTCTTTTTATCCCACCAACACATGAACATCCAAAAGACGATGTTCTGCATCTAACCCTAATAATATGGAAAGCTTATGAATGTTTGATTCGGGTTAGATTATACACTTTTAAACCCTCGTTACTTTTGTCATTTTGCTTGGATTCCTCGATCCTATGAGCTATTTTACGCTAGGTGAGTTCGTTTAGTGTCATATTTCATACCTAAGCAGGTGATCTTGGCACCGAGAACGAAAATCACGATTTTGGAGGAATTATGGGCAAAGACGCAAGATCACGATTTTGCAGGAATTATCACGTGCACACACTGTGAAGATGACATCCACACCGTGAAGTTCGCAAGGTGCTAAGGAGATCTCTATAGCTCACAGGCAGTGTCAGGATCACGGCCATAGGCCATGATTTTAACAAGTGTCCCGCTAAGATCGTAAGTGATGCGGTGCGTTTTGCGCTGAGATGACGGTTACCCTATCGACTTCACGGGCGTAATCTGGGATCGTGATTTCCGCACTCGAGGACTATAAAAGGGAGAGTTAGTTGAATTCGAAACCATTGAGCTTCTCTTTGTTCCTACATATTCCCAACTGGCAGACCTATTCACCAAACCTCTCTCTTCTTAGCGGTTCTCCTCGCTTGTTTCCGAGATCGGCATGTTGCCTTTACAGAGATTCGCTTCATCTTCCTAAACATCATTACGACAATGGAAATGCCTGGTATCTTAGGTTCTCTCCTATAAATCTTCCTCTACCTTCTCCCTTGCCATTCACCCATTTGCGTTTCCCCAATTTTCAAAATGTCACTACATTTCCTCAAACAACCGCAAATCCATTATCCTCACCTACTCCAATTCTCTTCTGCCTAGTCCAGACTCCAGAGGATTATCACCATTTTCAAATGTACTTTGAGCATCGTTCCCTTCCCGTTGTTTCTCATTTGAACCTGAACTGTTTGCACTGTTTGGCATTCATTTCTCCTATCTTCTGGAAGGGCTTGGTTGGGATTTTCTGGTTCATTGTCGACAATCCCCTGCTGCCCTAGCATTGTTCAAATGTTTTATGCCAATTTGGACCATGATTTCGACGTTAATTTCTTTACCACCATTGTTTATGGCCACAAGCTCACCATCACCGTTGACGTCATGGGTTCCACCCTTGTGTTTTCCACTGAAGGGTTTCATATTGCATCCCCTCGAGAACTCTGAGACTACATATTTAATGCTGCTACCATGATACTGTCATGAACCAGTTGCTCCCAATAACTCGAGTTGTTGGGAAAAAGTTATATTAGATCTTATACCACTCTCTAACACGCCCCCTCAAACGAAAGCCAACTCATGGGCTTGAAGTTTGCACAGGCTCACCATCCATTGTGCTTTAATCAACTGTTAATATTGGGGTCGTGGAGATTCGAACACACGACCACTTGGCCAAACCAGCTCTGATACCATGTCATCAACCAGTTGCTCCCAATAACTCGAGTTGTTGGGAGAAGGTTATATTAGATCTTATACCACTCTCTAACAGATACGAGCACAGAAACTACTCTAGGTTAGACTACTAATTACAGGTTGGGAACTCACTTAAGCATGATTTTTCCTAGCCACTAGCCAGATTAATGGTTGATAATCTCTAACCTATTTCACTTTCATTCACAATCTTTTACTGGTTTATGCTTCATCGAACAAAAGACCCACATT